ACAAGACTCAGATGCTCTGGGGCTCCACTGTCCCAGGGCTACAAGGGCTCCATTGCTCCACAACTCTGGGGTCCACTGCTCGAGGGCTCCATGGCCACGAGGGCTCCTTGCTCCAGAGCTCCTCTGTCCCAGGGCCCCTGGAGTTCAGCTGTTCTGGGCCCAATGGACTCCAAGGTCAGTCACAGGTGCCAGCACTCTGCAACCCCGAGACTGTCCGGGGGCACCAGGACTCTCTGCCCCAAGCAGCAGCCCTTTGGTCTGGGTGCTTTCTGGTCTAGCAACATTCATGGGCCTGCCAGGCCACGGATGTTGCCAGACCGGAGAGTCCTGGACCAGAAAGGTTCAACATGTACTAATGTATCTTTTTATTTATTATAAATATGCAGTCCTGTGTGGCTTTATAACATTTCCACAAATTCCCCACTCACTTCATAAAGCTCTTTGTTTATAATATGCTTCAGTATATTAGAGTAGTCCAGAAAATTGATTTTTTTTCCTGGAAAAAAAGTCTGCTTGAAATTTTCATCTAAATATTTGGCTTTCTCTGAGAAAATTCAAAATGAAATGACTTGAAAATTACAAACTATTTGAAAAGAGTAAGTTTGAGAAAATGAGGAAAAACAAATTTGAAAAACAGGGTTGTCTCTCTCCCTGCCCCAACACACTTTCTGAACTTTCCCTTCCTTTTTCTGAGTCCTGATACTTGATATATGAGAGTATCTGATAGCGAGAATAGGTTGATATCCCCTATGTAGATCAACAGCACTAAAGGCAAATTAGAGTTGTACTCTGACTGTGGAGTTCACTGATATTTTCCAATTAGGAAGAAAAAAGGAAGGGTAGTAAAATAAAAAAATAAACAAGATGAAAAAATATCTATTGAACCTAAAATGGGAAGCCAAAGTATTTATTTTCAATACCAAAACCAGCAAAAATATTTTGAATTTGGCCTATTGGATAAATCTGCTAGTTTTTTTTAAATATTACCTATGCCTACACGAGCCTCAAGTGAACTGAGGCAGATTTTTCTGAGCAACACAAATTATACTAATTGGGTTATTTCTGCACACCCTAGGGAGGAAAGAAACTAGATCTATAGACTGAGGTGTGGGAAAGATGAGATGTAGGCACAGTAAGAAAGAGCCTTAGGTCAGAATGAGGGGTTGGGGGCAGAGGGAAATGGAGGAATTGGCAGACAATAAACGACCGTATTATTCTTCAGCTATCACCAGGGCATTTTCTGCCTGGCAGCTTTTGTAATGCCAGCAGACCCCAATCATCTGCAGGTGGAATCAAACCTGGGACCTCTGGAGCTTAATATATAAGCCGTGAGCTAAAAGGCTGGCTACTAGTTAAGGCTTTAGAGCAGACTCATTAGTCTCTCTGTACATTGTCTCAGTGCGCTAGATGGGACTGTAAACCACACTCAGGAGTGGGGTGGTTTACACTTGGCATGTATCATACTGCAAGCTCACTGACAGGGGGAAGCAATTCAGATGGGACTCGGGCTCCCAGCCGCTGCTGCCACTACTGCAGGAGCAGTGGGGGCTGGAGCCCCAGGACCTTTAAATCACCACCGGAGTGCCACATGGCATGCTCCAGGCAGCTCTCAGGGCTTGGCTGGGGAGCCCAGCCCAATGCGCTCTGAGCAGTCCTGAGGACTGGCTGCCTCAGTCCTGCCCCTTCCATATGAGTCCTTGTTCCTTCCAGGAGCATGGAGCCTCCTCCTTCCCACCCCTATGCCTAAGGGTCTGGCAAGTTTGTTGATCCCCCTGTCATAGTGTACTGAAAAGCTCTAAGCTCCATTTTAATGCTTTTTTTACAGCATACCATTCATTTTCTTAGACATAAAATGCAGTTTGCAACAGATCCATTGGAGAGCTACCACTTCTCCCAAGGGTTTCTAACTCTTTCCTTTAGCTGAATTTGCTTCACCAGCCAGGAGACTGTGCCGATGCTACATTTTCAGTAGATGTTCTTGTCACACAGTTACTTGTACTATCAAAATTCATTGCTTCTGCAATGACTGATGGAAACAAACAGGTCACTGAAGTGAAGTTTTTGGAGACTCTGTGAATTTCTATTGCTTGAAAGGAGTAGTTGTCACATCTTTAACTTAGTTATCTCTGATATGTAAGGAGAGTACTCTTTCTCTAGAAAGCCAGTGGCATAGAGCAGTGTTTCCCAATTTTATTTGGCCACGGAACCCATTTAAACTCAAAAGAATTTTGTGAAACCGCTAATAACAGTATTATATATGGAGCTGAAAAAGTAGACCACAAATAAGTAAGGATAATAATAAACAAATGCTAAACAAGGTCATGAGATCGACACAAATGAAAATTGTTTTCAATAAAATTCATAAATGCTTAATATTAATTATTATTTTTTTAATAATAACATGTTGTTGTAATGGAATTTTCTCGCGGAACCCTTATTTTCATTTTGCGGAACCCCGTGGTTCCCCGGAACACCATTTGGGAAACACTGGCATAGAGAATAAGAAGTAGTAAATTCAATTTTCCTCAGATGAGAACAATACATGGCCCAATGTAGGAAACCTGAGAAATTCAGGTAACAGGCACTGAGCTCCCCAAAATTAAATTCAAGTCCCAAATGTCAAAGCAAATCTCAAATAAAGGTAAGGAATGTGTGTATTGCGGCTGCATCTGGAGCAGTTTTATGAGAAGTATGAATGTTGGCAAACCTGTCACAACAGGAGTGATTAAGGCAGTAAGCTCAGGCACAGAAAGATCATGCAGCAGAACAAAGGACAAGACTATTTTTGGAACTGTTGACGTCTGTGTAGTCCAGGCAAAGGACTGGCTACGTGCTTTCAATGTAAGTGACATCAATGACATCGGGGAGAGATGCAAGGAGATGTTGCAAGTAAATGGCAAGGATGTTAAAATCAAGTCTGACACAGGAGCACAGTGTGACATGGTGGCCCAGCAAATGATTTATAAATTGAATGTCAAGGGTGCCATTTCTCAAATGTTTCAAAACATGGGCTATCGCCGTGTGCAGGCCAACAACCTGTTCTCTGTGTTGTGGGTAAGTCAGTTGTGCAAAGCCCTCGTCTCAAACAGTAACATGAATTGAATTCAACATTGCAAGTATACCAAAAATTCATCTTGCTAGTGAAGCTCACAACTCTCCAGTTGTAATAAAACAATAAAAGCGAGCCAGACAATATTTTATCTTATCGAGTACATTCCAGGTATTTCTCATCCTTTTGGAAACTGAAAAATGAAATACAGTGATAATGACCATCACTCAGAGTAGATAGTGTAGACCTTCATGAGCTATTTCTTCCCCTTTCATATATACTGTGAGCAGTGCAGTAGTTCAGATTGTTGACATTCAAACTGTAACTGACATCTGAATAAGAATCAATAGGACAAGTTAAACCTCTAAGGTGTATATACTTTCAGGTTTTCTGTAGCTTTAAGAAGACATACCAGCTTTGGAGTTTGAAAGTTTGTCTTTCACCAGCAGAAGTTGGTAAAGTAAAAGATATTATCTCACACACCTTGCATCTCATATCTGAGGACCAACAATTACCACAATGGTTACACATGGATCACATTATGAATGATTACTTTGCCACCAAAACAGCAAATGATTTCCTTCAAAAAAATATGATTCAAGAGTCCAAGTGAGGGGCCTACTTCTATGACCACAGATAATTTTACAGGTTCCACAGGTAAATTGTTTTGGAAAACCCTTTTTTCCTTGAATAGTTAGAACTGTTTTGCTTCTGATACACAATGCTTATGATACACAATCTGCTGAAAACACCAGAACCCTATGGATGCTGGCATTTGTTCAAAGTTTTGGGCTTGTGTGGTTTCTACCAAAAAAGAGAGAGTTTGGACAAGGAAATTAAAGTAAAAAATCTAAAGCTGGATTTTCTTTCATCTTCAAGTTTTGGATTCCTTCTGTACAACTATTTATTCTTCAGCCATCAGTTTTCAAAATCTTGAATGGATAACAAAAGTTAACCTACAAGCTTGTGATGGGGCTGGTCTAACAAGTTGTGATTAGGTCACTGGTTCCCAGTTCTCTCCCTTTCCAGTTCTCACTATGACTCTCTAATGTACCTCCATCCAGTATGCAGTGATTCGACCCTCTAGACAGGACACCAGTTGAAATCACTCCCTTACATGACAATAGAGACTAACAAAATTTATGTATTCTAATACACCCAGAAACAAGGACTTCAGCTCATCTGTTGGCCCCTGTGAGTGGCACATACTTGATTCAGGGATTTCATCTATGTCCTTCCCCTTATCTTAAAGGTACAGGGAAGGGTTGTATTCCCCTTTCAAGAAAGTGTGGTTGGCAGAGGATCCTTGGGTTTCCCTCTCCTCCAGACTCCAACGTAGGGCCTTACAAGAGGCAGCAGTAGCAAACATCTTTGAGAGCTTTGGGACTCCATCACTGGGTGTGACGTAGTGGGGGTACCTGGCTGGGCTGTGGTGACCCCTGCTGTCTGGAGCAAGACCCAGCAGGGAAAACCTCGCTAGGCAGAGGTAATGCCAAACTTGTTGAGCCAGGGGCCAGACACCCCCCATGGAGAGGAACAAAGGAAGGTGGAATGCTGCCCTGGCTGGGGGGCAGGGCTGGAAGTTGGTTAGTTGGTTGGTGGCTGTCTGTGAGGATGGATGAGACAGCCTAGGGAGAGGAGCTGGAGTTTAGGGGCCCAGTCTCCCCCCAACTCAAGGGGGCCTGAGGCATCCTAGCCCAGCTCTGTGACCAGATTCCATCTGTGCTGTGCTGTATCCTGGAGAGGCAATAAACTTCCTCTATTCCACCGGCTGGTGCAGTCTGTTTGTGCCATTTCGGGGTGCAGGAGACGGGGGACCCCCAACGTGCCATCACACCCTTCCAACACCCTAAACCTTTCAAAAGAACAACTAGAAGCTAGAGTGAAGGGCCTGGGATAGCTGCCATTTGTGATCTTTTCCCTGCAGCCAAGAATACTGCTGTACACTTACTCAAGAGTACCCATGACAGGTTTCCTCATCCTCGCATCTGGCCTCCATCTGAGGTGTCTGGCTTTCTACAAGCTCTTTTTCCAGCTGGAGTCAGCTTCACAGGAGTCAGCCAGAAACTAGTCCTTAACCTCTTGCATCACAGTGTGTCCCATCCCATCACAATGCTATTCTGAGGAATCAGTGGTACTGTCATGACAATCGGTAACCTGAATGTGAAGATTTGGCTCCTATTCTTTGCCATGACTGTAAGACAAACTTGCCTGCTTAAAATTGCCTAGTGAACTTTGCTGTTTCAGAATGCTCTGAGAGCCAGGTTTTTTAACCTTTGAAAATAGCGCTAATTATTATAACTTTTTGTGTTGAATTTACCAAAGTTTGACAAGGCAAAGAAAGTCTGAATTCCAGAATCAATCAATTTGTGAATGCTGAATAACCAGTCCTAACCAAGAACCCTGACTGAATATATACTGAAGCATATATTTAGTCCTTTAATATTGCCTTGTGCCTCTTTGATTCTTACTTGACAAGCTTAATGTTTATACAGTGAATTCTTAATTTGGTCTGCTGATTAAGCACACTCGCAATTAAAATAATAAATTGTGACTGGCAAGTAAATATTCTTCCTGTTTTAGCCAATTATAGTGAATTAAAGACTTGGAAAGCTTGTTAACGACTAATTGCCATCTTCAGTTCTTTTGAAGCATGAGATTCACCGAAGGCTGGACAATTAATCAGAAACTTTTTGTCAGGAGATTTCTTCATTGCTAGAAGAAGAGCTCAGAGCTCAGAACATTGGTGAATTTGCAGAGAGTCTCTGGATTCCAGTACTATAACCAGAGAGCTTGAAGTAGATAAAGAGCTTGATAAGACTTTGAGGACTTATCTATATGGGGATTTATTGTATGGCAAGCGGGAGGGTATACATTTAGAGTGGCTGATCCTGGAACATACTGTCTTTCTGTGTGGACCTTGCTGCCAGTCTGTCAAAAATGCAGCATGGAAGTTCTGGTGCATGGTAGCAGAGTTCACATAGCAACTTAAAGCATGGCCATCTAGTGTACTGCAGATTTACATCTTGACTTGCTGCATACTAAATTAATGTGAAAACAAGCCTTGAGTATTTATTGGTTTACATGAAATCACTAAGCCACCATTCCTGCAATGAGCATTTATTAGCTCTTTGCTCCTGCCTGAAGTCCCTTTGACTTAATTGAGTCTGTGTGTGGGTGCAGTGATCTATGAATGCAGCTCTTTGTTCAATATGGGTCTCAATCTTGAAGTAAGTCAGAGCAATAGATTGTGTCTCTCATTATCTAAGTGATAATAAATGGCTTTGATAATTGAATTTAAAGGTTACATACTTAACATGCAAAAGGCATGATTCCTGTAATAATGAGAGCTGGATGAAAAATAGTGTTTGGATATGAAAATACGGATTTAGCAATTTCATGTTAGCCATCCAGATTTGAACACCCGGGCCTTCACCTGGTTCTTTGGAAGGACTGTGATGCATGCATGCTCCTGCAAATAATTTTAGCTCTAATCCCTTGTGATTTTAGGTCAAATTGGCTATTGTGGAGAGAACTTCATTGTAATTTCAGTTAGAAATGCTCAGAAACTGTCCACAATCTCCCACATTTATGTATATTTGAGAAAGTCTATCTGTCTGTCTGTTTGTTCAATAATTATTCCTAAATGGTAAGAGTGAGGACCACCAAATTCGGTATGCAGCATCTTCTTATCCTAACATAAAGCAAGGTCAGGGTTTGGTTATGCCAGGAAAAATGGGATGTGCTTAGAATGGGATTGCTTTTCATGAAAAAGAATACAGAAAAGAGACAAAATAACCAGACAGGTGAAAGGGATTGGCTGGGGACACGCCCTCCCATGGTGGACTAGAGATGTAAGTGACCACCTCCTCAGGGGGGTGGAGCATGGGAGACAGAGGTGCAGCGGGGGACCCAGTGCACTCCAGGACTGAGAAGTCCCCACTTATGCCCGTCTACCCTTAGGTTCCAAGGTCAAGAGTGACCATGGTGATCCTCTAATCTGTCTTCCTGTGTAACACAGACCATAGAACTTCCCCAATGTAATTCATAGAGCAAGCATAGAATCTTGGGCTGTGTCTAGACTACATGCCTCTGTCGTCCGAGGCATGTAGATCAGACACATAGGCAAAGGCAAATGAAGCCGCGATTTAAATGATCGCGGCTTCATTTAAATTTACATGGCTGCCGCGTTGAGCCGACAAACAGCTGATCAGCTGTTTGTCCGCTCAGTGCGCTAGTCTGGACGCTCCCCTGCCGACATCAAAGCCCTTTGTCGGCAGCCCCGTTATTCCGCGGCAGCCATGTAAATTTAAATGTAGCCGCAATCATTTAAATTGCGGCTTCATTTGCCTTTGCCAAAACAACAAATCTACATGGCTCCGTCGACGGAGCCATGTAATTTAGACGTACCCTTGGAGTAAGAGCAAGGGGGAGCCTAACAAAGGCATAAGTGCCAAAGAGGCAACTAACTGCCAACTGCTTTTGACTTTGAAAATCTTATCAAGACACCTCTACTACAATGAGCTATCTTTGAGAGGCGCTCTAGTGACTTAAGGGGCGGGGCATCCATAGTCAAAAAGGGGTCTGCCTGTGAAGAAGCCACAGCCTGATCAGGGCCCACATGTGGAACATTACATTTCCAAAAGAGATTTTTGCAGAAATTTGTGGCTCTAGGAATGTGAAGGCAGAGTGTTTTATTGAAAATTCAAACCTAACTCAAAATAGAATTCCACACTGTTTAAGACGGCTCACTACGTGCCAGGAAAATTCTGCCAGCTGAGTCAGAGCATTTGCTTGCCCAGTCCAGTGAATAATGGGAGGAGAAAATGTAATGATAGTCTGCTAATCCCAAAGCCAAAAATGAATTACTGTTCCCAGGAGTGTGTAAATAGAATACTGAAAGCTGTAGTTATTAGCTAAACTTCATGTATTAATACATCACTTTTGCATACACTTATTTGTGCATATAATATTGAATTCTGATTGTGTGATTGTAACCAAGAGAAAGAAATGTTTCTATTGCTTTTAATAGCTGCTCTGCTTGGCTAATGGGATGACAGTTTTTTATGTTTATTATTGCTACTGAAAATGCATGACCTCATCTTTTGTCACCGAACGGTTTAGTAAATTGTATTCAAGTACCTTATTCTAAAACTACATTATGAAATTATATCTTCTGCAAGACTGAAATATCACCTGATTTATTAAAAGTAGATCAGAATAGCTGTATGGCTAAGTGCACTATCCTAAATGAAGTAGAATTGCTTTGTCTGCAAGGGCTGCCATACCCTTCGACTGTACTATTATGTTTCTGGACACAGATTTTCCTTGGCTATGTCGCCACAACGAAATTTTTCTGTAGTATCCCAGAAAAAAAAATCTGCTGCATCCAGGGAACACGTCTGCTCTTCCACTTTTTTTTTTTTTTTTTTAAAGCAGATGTACTCTTTCAGAAGCCCTGTCTTCCTCCTCCCATGAGGAAGAAGGGCTCTTCTGAAAGTGGAGGCTTTTCCAAAATTTGGCTCAGTGTGTATGGGCCAAATTTCAGAAAAGCCTCTTCGGAAAAAGGTACACAAATTGCACAGTGCCATTTGCATACCTTTTTCTGATAGATCATTGTAATGTAGACATAGCCGTTTAGAACAAGGATGCTGGAATAATGCAGTTTAGTATTTAATAAACGCTTGCGCTGCAAGGAGGTGCATGTGCATATGGTTAACTTTGACTCCAGGAGGAGCTTGCTCGTCCCTCACCCCCACCCACCCTGGCTACACAAATTGCACAGTGCCATTTGCATACCTTTTTCTGATAGATCATTGTAATGTAGACATAGCCGTTTAGAACAAGGATGCTGGAATAATGCAGTTTAGTATTTAATAAACGCTTGCGCTGCAAGGAGGTGCATGTGCATATGGTTAACTTTGACTCCAGGAGGAGCTTGCTCGTCCCTCACCCCCACCCACCCTGGCAGGAGCTCTTCCCCTACCCCTCAGCCTCCCTGACCCTGAGGCCTGAGGAATTCTGTGCCCTCAATGATTGGGGGAGGGGGATGCTTTTGCTGAGCTCTCCTTGTGCCTGGCCCTGAGGGGGCACCAGATTCATTTCCCACTATCTGTCACTTGTTACGTTGTTTGTATATATCAACAGAGATGGGTCAAACAAGTTTAGTGACTCAGAATTCCCTTAAGTCACTATTTAAAAATAACTATTCAGAAATAATACTCTAACAAATGTGCTATTTATTCATGGATTGTTTGTATAGGTTAGTCCTCTATAGTCTGGACTTCTGTCATCTGGCAACATCTGTAGGGCTCCTGGCTTGGAGCTTTCATGGAGGAAAAAACAGGCCCCATGCTCAGCAACTCCTCCCCTGCCCTCCCAGAGCTTCTGGAGCACCACAGATAGATCATTTGTGACATTCAAGCTCAGGGAGGGATGCGGAGGGGCATGGATGGGGTGGGCTGCTCGGGGAGCGGGGGCTGGGAGCACAGCCCAGTGGCTCTGGGGCTCAGAGCACTCCCATAGAGCTGTGCTCCTGACCTTGGTCACATGGAGCTGTGCTCTGCAACCATCCTGCCTTTTCCCCTGAGAGCACCCAACCCCCAGACCCAGCTCAGTCAATACCAATTTCTCTGCTGTTGCTGGAGTGGAGCCCTGCAGCTGGCTGCTGCAGAATGGCTGGCATTGACCTCCCCTGGTCCAGCAAATTCCCTGGATTGGGATTAATCAAGTCCTAAGGGTGGCTGACCAGGGAGGTACAACCTCTATTTAGTACAGGCAACTTATTCCCCAATAAAAGTTTATCTTTTTTGATGTAGAGAGCTTTTTAGCCAATTAATGTGACTTGTTAAGAGAGAATAAAATTCTTATTCTCAAAGTATAACTTTGTTCTGTGTAGTTCCAATTCAGGAAAGTACTTCTTAAGTGTGTTATGATCTCCCCTGTTCAAGGCAGCACTTAAACACAATCTTAATTGTCCTAAATACAGGAGCTTTCTAGAATTTGTCTTTGTGTGTGGTGTTGTGACTTGTGTGTTCTTTACTCATCATAACTGTCCTGTCTCTTGAATGAGTTATGGTGCTCAAAATCAATAAGATGGAGATGTTCACATCTTTCCTATGGACTGAATTTTGATCCTTTCTCTGGGCACTTCCATAGCTCATCGCTGGACCTGCGTGTGACAATCATTATATAACTTGTGTGGCAGTTAAAGGGATACTAGCCTGTAGGCCCTGGAGCACAAACCTTACCAAGCAAGATTTAAGTTTCAGACCACTTTTCTAAAGTGGCAAGCCTACTTCTCTTTGCTTAACATTTGGGAAAGGGTGCAGTAAATGAGTCAAAAGAGCCTGTTTTGCTGGATATGTCTAGTCCTTCAGTGAAGAAAGCCTTCAAGAATATAATAGCAGCTATGCTTTTACTTAGTACTGTGAGAGCAAAACTTTAAAGGTATATGTATTAGCTCTTGGTGAGCTTGTAAGAAAGATAAGGAAAGAGTAATGATGTGTTTCATTCAGTCCACTGCATCATAACCTGAGAGGCCTAATACTGGAAATTAGAGCGCAAGCTGTGAGATCATGAAACATACTGAGCACCATAAATAGAGAACATTAGACTTATGCCTCCATGTATCTCCTTCAACAGACCTTCTATTCTTTATTTATGGTAACGGAAACTTGTACATATTAACAGCTGCAGGGAATACAGGTCTCCATGTGGGGGTTTGACTGAGCTAGAAGCAGCAAGATAATATCCCAAGAATATTCCTTGAGTGGTAAATGAAATCAATCTTAGTCATTTTTCCTCTTTCTCCTTTTTTAAACCTTTTTTTAGAGTAGTTTCATTTTCCCTGAGAAGCAACAAAACTGAACACCTGGTCAATAATAGCTGGGCATTATTATATTATAGAACAAAATACATTCTGACTAAGTTCATATATTTCAAATTTGCAGTTGTTATCATGTTTACAATCAGTGCATTTGCCAGGGATTGAACATCGAATTATCCTGGAATTGGTAGGGCTAGCCATGCTCACTAGTAGATTGAATAGTAATAGAGAGGTAGCTGTGTTAGTCTGATCTTGCCAAAAAAAAAAAAAGGAAAAACTATGTAGCACTTTAAAGACTAACAAGATATTAAACCATCTCGTTAGTCTTTAAAGTGCTACATAGTTTGTCCTTTTGTTTTAGTAGATTGAAGGCAGCCTTTGTGCCCCATTCCTCAGAAGCACTCCCTTTAGTGTGGTCCTTGTTAGCCAAGGCTCCTAATTGTTATAGTTTTGCCAGCCCCCTGGAATGCATGACTCTAACTAATCCACATCTCCATTCTAACTAGCCTGGCTTGTCTGCCTGTGACTGGCCATCTGGAATGAGCACTCACTTGCTTGAGGAAAGGAGGCTCTGTCCAAAAAGCCTGTTTTTGTTTTTAGTTTTTGCTTTGTTTTGTGTTTTTGTCTTTCCACTCACTAGAAAACAAAGCCCTTCCTCCTTCAAGTTATGGCCACAGTACCAGATGCAGTATTGGAGGTTTTTTGAAATGCTTTGTTTTCCATGTTTGTGTCTGAATCAGGTTTTGCCTTCTGTATATCTTGGCCTTTCCCTGGGCATAGGTCCTCCAATTTTCAGTCCCTACCACTCGCTTCCACTTCCATAGCTCACTATGTCTTATGGAATCCCCTTCTCTAGCATTAATTGATTTCCCTCCTTATCTCACAAAAGGGAAGCTAAGCAGGAACATCAAAAAAAAAATCTGAAGCATCAAACAGTTTAGCTCCGCAGGGTGCAACTATGCAAAAAATATAAATAATGCAGAGCGTCTCAGAGCCCAGAGCACATAGGATTCACAGTACAGTGCTAAAAATAGTCCTGTTTGGGCTAGAGCTCAGATTCTGAGACTTACTCTTGTTGCAAGGGTTTCAGAGCCTGAGCTGCCCAAGTGGGAAGGTGTGTGCTGCTATTTTTAGCTCTGAAACATGAGCCTCATTCATTTGAAATGGGCGGCTCTGGCTTATTTGTTGGATGGCTCATATCAACTGACTGGGGCTTGTGGGACTCAAGTTAAGGAGTGGTTTAGTTTTGGTACAAACGTTTGGGCTCAGGCTGTAGCCTGAGCCCTAGTACTTCCAGACTGTGAAACTAAAGTCTATTTTATCATACCTTTAGGTATGGAAGGATAAGAATCTTGTTGTCAGTAAATGGCTTCATTGCACAAATCAATGAAAAATATTTCCAACACTAATAATTGAAATTTAAGGCTAGACAAAGTTACAAAAAAATTGCTTTAGAACTTATTTGAATTTGATTTATGGATGTGTAGTTTGAATATTTTGACGTGATATTGAAAGGTTTGTATTTTCACCATTGTCATGAAACTTTAAATTTGAATCTCAATGTCTACTGTCTTCAAATAATTTTTGTCTGATTCCCACTGTAAGATCACAGAATTGTGAAAACTTAATTTTACTTGAAACAGAAAGGTTAAACACATCATTTTGCACAAATGTGAAAATTTAAATAGATCACAAAATCTTAAAATAAACACTGATATAATTAAACAAAACTATAAATATGAATGGACTTCTGTCAAGCCTATATTGTTTGACAGAGTCTAGCACAAGGAAGCGGCAGTCTTGATTGGGGCTTCTACCACTATTTTGATGAAAATAATAAAAGAAAGTATTAAATATTTGAATTTTCTAAATTAGAATAATAGTGTTTCTAGATTTGGAAACAAATCTGTTTTGACTAAGAAATCTTATTTATGAATGTCTCTTTCTTTTGCCATCAGTATTTATATTGCAACAGGACACAATTATCCTCTAATGACAAATTATTCCATAAACATTATTTCAAAAATAAAATAAGAAAAGTAGTTAAATGCATGCCAAATATGTGTTGGGATGAATGTATTGTGAGAGCAGAGCCATCATATCTGTAATTTGATTATGTGGTATGCCGTGACATTTTGCATATACCTGATTTCTCTAACATTTGGTGGTTCAGTACTTCAATGTTTCACTAAATTCACTGCTCTGATAATTGAAGTTGGCTTTATTGGGGAGATAATATTTGGGAATAACATTTTGTGAGTCCAATGGAGAAAAGGTATTCATGCGTAAAGCATTTTAATTAGGCAAAAAAAAAGTCATTTTTTTTCCTGAAGGGAACCTTATGAAAAGCAAAACTTTGTTATTTAGTTCTGAAAATTCTTATGTACTTTTTCAAAAATAAATGTGTGTGTGTCGGGGGGACAACTAACAGTTTCAAATAAAAGATCAGTAACGCTTAAAAGTACATTTGGATGTCTAGTGGAATTGGGAGGTTGATAGAAATATCACCTCTCCCTTAATCACACTTAATAAAAACAGTCAATAGACTTCATGAAAGCCGGGAACAATTTCTACTAGCTCCATGC